AATTGAAGAAAGAAATAAATAAAAGAAATTGCTGAATTTCTCTTACAAAAGAGTTTCTAAGGCTTCTTTTTTGTAGAGAAGCAGTTGAAAAAATTACTCCAGTGAACCCCCAATGCTCAAATACCAACAGTCAAAGATAAAAGTATTAATGGACTATTTTGAAGTCAGTCTTATGATTTGTAAACAGTTGAGAATGTCAACACCAGAATAATCTTCTTGCCTGATTAGCATATTGGAATGATTAAATACTTTAAAACAGTTAAAATAGTTTTAAGTGCAACGTAAATGTTAAGCCATTATTAGTTAACTACTGCTGCTTTCTTACACAAAATGGTTACTCAATACAAAGCAAGTGCATACAGTGCTTCTCAATACAAAGCCAAACCCTTAGCTTCCACCCCGAATCAAAATTTTTAATGCTGTTTTCAGAAATGCTTGAAACTATCAGGAAATCTAATATCATGTTTTCCTTATGTGTTCTCTTCTTTTTCCTCTTTCTTAGGTATCAAACCTGCTCAAACAATGGGCTGGTGGCTGGTTTCCAGAGTCAGTATTTTCCATCTGTGCTTGACCGTGAATGGCAATTTTACTGCTGCCGCTATAGCCGGAGATGCCCGTATTCATGCTGGTGAGTTTAAGCAGAAACCAAACCTGTTAGCCTCTTTTCCCCAGCAGTTCATATAAATGTCTTTGGCCACCTGGCCCATCAAAAACCTTGTCTGAGAAAAAGTTAACTGTGTTTTATGGGGCTAAGCAAGTTATTTCCAGTCTGGTAACAGGATTCTTGAGGATCCATGGCTAAGGGAAGAGAATGAGGGCACAGTTATGCTGAAGAGCGCAACGCAGTAGCTAGCCCTTAATGAACAGGCCTGGGTACCAGCAGCAGCCTAGCAATGCTAGAAACCATGACAGAAGTCTCCAAAGTGGAATGACATTTCAAGGGTGGTGATATAGCTCCCACTATAAATCCAGCACATTTACAGCAGTAGGAGCATCTCTGCGCTACGCAATTGTGCCACAATGATTTACAGGAGTGAACTTCCTGCCATTTACCTCAGAAAAAATATCCTCTCGCTGACAACTTGGGATTTTTGTATTTGTAGTGCATACAACTTGCTCCCTCTCTCAAGGCTGTTTGAAGACCAAAGTCAAAATGAGCTACTGATCATAGTCCAAACCTAAAAAAAAGGTGGCCTCACCTCACACAGTATCACAACTGGTGCTGGCAACCTCACAGAGGCTATGGAAAAACGAGCTATACATCCCGAGCTTCCCTGTCGCCCCAGGTGTGGTTTCTCTAAATTGAGATGGAAGAACAGTAGCAGACTGTGTAGAGAAAGCTCATATTGCTCCTGTCCATTCTGTGTAACAGAACTCATGATTTTATGCTCCAGGGCTATTAATCCAGCTATTTTCACTGATACAAAGAAAAACCTGCCTGCGTTTTAAAAAAAAAAAAAAGACAAAAATAGGGGGAAAAAATCTGTGCTTGAATCTTTGATTCCAGAACTCAGCTTTGAAGTAAACTTCCCATTGAGATGCACACAAACTGTTAACATGCCCATTGGTCTTACTTGTCTGTCTGGCTACTGGCCAAACACAACAGCAGTGCCTTGCTTTGCATCCTTCAGTCTCCTTGCAGCCAGGAGGAAAAGAATTGTTTTTTTATTATTATTTTTAAATATTTTAAATGACAGGAACTCTGTAACAAAGTCTTTGAACATTCTTCTGCCCCCTTTCCAGCCTACACTGCCTACGGATGTTCTCTGCTTGGGGGTTTATTTACATACCTGCCCAGGCTCTTCCCTCTGAGGGAAACTCACTCTAACTTTTAAGCAGTTCTTCCAATCTCTCTTACTCCTCTAATATTGCATGTATTTTCAGAGAGACAACAGAAATCTTCTCTGACCTCTTTTGTTGTTGACAGTTCTGCTTCCCTCAGACGTCGTCTTGACAACTGGGAACAGCTTTGTCTCTGCCTTGCAAATTGGCATTCAGAGTAATGCGAATCCTAATGTAAATGTTTGGGGTTACTGATGTCTTGTGTTTCCATCCCAGCTGCACACAGACTCCTGTACTGCCCTTCTATTTCCAACAGTGACAACACTCATTTTTTATGCTTGGAAAAGAATGCCTTATGTAGTTCAGCTGCTACTGCCTTTCCATGCAGAAAAGGCAGCATTTCAAAGGCAGGTGAAGCATTTCTCCCTCTAAGCAGAGTAGAAATCCCATGTACTCACGTTCGTCTGGGAGGGGAGAGCTGTAAAACCTCTGGGAAGACCTGTCACTAGTTGGTGATTATGGGTTCATTATAAAACCATTTTGTATCCCGTATTACCAGGCTCAGTCACTCCATCTAGAGCCCAGTTTGTTCTGTTCAAGCTACTGGCCTATCTTGACACTTCCATATCCACTCTCACCCTGGACAGTCTCTCATACAGTTTCTTCTACTTGAGAGCCTTGTTTGACCTTACTCTCTTGAAGTGCCTCCTTACAATATATTTCTTCCAATTTTTTTCAAGCTCTCATTCTGTCTTTGGAGTTAGCAAGGTAGATACAAGCTCCTTCTACATACAGTTATCCAAATTAGGATGTTATGGTATGGATGGACAGACTAACAGTTGTTAGATGGGCTACCAACTAGATGGGTAAAAAACTGGTGGTTTAACAGGCTCAGAGGGTAGCAGTTAAAGGGTGATACCCTGCCTGGGTGCCCATTACGAGCAGAGCACTGTAACTAATGGTCTACCCTGGGACCCGTCCTGCTTAACATCTTTATCAATGACCTTGAGAAGGCAACAGAGCACACTCTTGCCAAGTTTCCATATGACACCGAACTGGGGGGAACAGCTGATACGCTTGAGGGCAGGACTGCTGTTCAGAGGAATATGAAAACCTTTTCCTCTATGAGGACAGTGAGATAGTAGAGCAGGTTGCCCAGTGAGGTTGTGCAGGCTCCATCCTTGGAGGTTTTCAAGACTCGACTGAATAAAGCCCTAAGCAGCCTGGTCTGACCTTGTGGCTGACCCTGCTTTGAGCAGGGGGCTGTACCAGAGACCTCAAGGTCCCTTTCCACCAGAGTTATGCTGCGATCCCAAACAGGACTCCTCTGCTGGAGGGCCCACACCATGCAGCTAAACTCTCCTCTCCGAAACAGTGGTCTCCTGCCTATTGTCTGCCGGGAATGGTTTCTCTTCTGTTTTATTCCCTTTCCCCTGCCTAGACAGTGTCTGGGAGAGTGCTAGTTGTTACGCTAACATATAAGCAACATGAACTGCAATGTGGTAGCACGAAACCCCATGCTTTGGACCCACTCTTATTACTACAGATGTGACTTGTCTGAATTGTTAAACTTCACTGTACAGCAACTAAACTTCCCATTCCCTAATAGGATCTCACTCACAACTTCACTTCCATCGGCATTTCCAAGTTATTCTCACAAAACCTTGTTCACACATCACACTTCTGGTCTGTATCTTGTACTCTGTTTAAGATGCATTTGACAGAGACAATGTGTTTTCCAAACATTCTGCAAAGCAGTTCCGGGCTACCATGGGTAGGACCTCAAAATGTATATGCATATAAGACACAATAAAAATGTGTGTGCGTATACAGTATCATTATTTATTACAGTTTCTGCCCCAGCCTATAATGGTATTTATTCTGTTCCAGAAACTAGCTGTCAATAAACTATCTGTGGAGAAATGACTATTAACATGCTGCTGACTCCTATTTCTTGGTTGAAGTAGCTTAATTTCATGCAAAGGCATCTATTAGTATATGACTATGTGGAAAAGTAATACCAGGAAAATACGTAATGGCTGTGGTGCCTCCTGGATCATGCGTGACACATAGGAAAATCCATATTCAAAGACAATCCACATTGCAGAATTTCTCAGCAGCCTTGAATTTTAATGTGCAATGAATCCTTCATTATGAAACCAAATATGGGCAGAAAGGCATTTTTAAGAAAACTGACAGTACTGAGGTGTAACAAAACTCTTTGGTTTAAATTAGCTCTCACCTTGGGTATTTGATCCCTTCCTCTTCCAGTTGTCTCTGTACGGGGCTCTCTGGCAAATATAAAAGCGGTAAGACAGCTGATCCTTATGCATGGCTTCTCTTGGCTCTTCTTCAGGACTACATTCCTCCTAAAGTGAGCTGGTCTTCCCTACAATGAATAAAGACAGGTTTTCCCCATATATATGAGCCATGCAAATGGTTTGTTAGAATTTGACCCGGTTTTTACAGCTGGAACATTCCTGTGTTTTTTGAGTCCTGCTAATACTTATTGGAATACTAATTTATGACACCATCATGCTGATTGAAACCCCCACTTAAACACTTTGCTTAACTTAAGAACATTATTAAACCCAATACATGCTTAAGGACTTTGCTTGGTAGCATCTATATCTTTACCCTTAGAGCCCAGCAGTTCGTTTCACAGCTCGTCTTCTCACCATTAATTCCCAGTTTACCTGTACAGTAAGCCCATACTGAAAATAAATATACTAATCTTTTCCAGTCTCACAGTTTTGCACTTGCTATTTTAAATTTTTTTTACAAGTACTTTGTTTCCTTCCTCACCATGCCAAGTCTTGTCATGGATTCTGCACATTTTTACCGTACTGAAAATAATTAACATTCCTCACAGGAGGCAGAAAAAAACCCCATTATTTTACCTGGCTAGGGAATGCTACCACAGTAAAATAAACTGTGTGCTGATTTGAACCATAAAGGAAGCAAATCCATCGCAGATGCAGAGACAGTGTTATTAAATGGTCCCATTAGAGCTCAGATTTTTCTCTTTGCCAGGAAATTGAAAGCTTGACTCCATACTCTCAAAAGCAAACACATGTCACAGAGCAGCCCCAAGTCTGCACAGACTGTTTATGACTGTTTCCTCTCTCCAAACAACCAGCAGTCCAAGTGCCAGAAAGTCTGTCTGGAGCTGTGGCTGCTCTCTGTCACGGTGATGTTGTCCAGGCAACAATTACATTTTCCAAGAGTTACGGGGCTTAAAGAACTTACTTGTTTTCTTCACTCAACCTGCCACCAAAGCCATATTGAAACTGATGAGATCCTATACAGGTTTCTCAGAGATTACCAACAGCAGAGATATAAATCCAGGAGGTGAACTCAGAATAGATGCGGTGCAAACATGCACTTCTGGGCAACCCAATTCCCCTCCCCTCTTTTTTTTTTAAAAAAAAAGGTAACTGATTTTTTTTATATCCCAGCAAATACAACCTTACAGTTCAATCTCCTGGACCATCTTCCAGAGACATCTTAGGAGAAACACATCCCCTTAATATTGGAAAGCTGGTTAATGTTATTTCAGACATGTCTTTCTTGAACAGCTCAGGTGCCCTGAGCTCTCTGCTGCTGCTTGTATCGGTATTGCACTAGCTCATGTAGGCCTCCAAGAAGAACTGTGGTCCCACTGTGTTGGCCTCGTGGCTCCTCAGCCCTGTGAGAGTTTGTTTTCACTACAGCAGAGTGGAACAGAAGAACAGTGATGTGTCTAGGTGAATCTATGATCTCAGAACCTGGAGCGTGAACTCAATCCAGAAACGCACATGACATGGCCACATGAGAAAACTGCTCATCTCTAGAGCAGCTCTAGGACAGCTCTAGTTCCCTGGAAGCCCAGCAGTCTGGGATCTATACTGGGAGCATTGGCAGGAATTTCTGTAGACAGTTTACTAAGACCTTCTTTGGCTTTTCAGCATAGTATGCTTTTGAAAAGGGGATGCCCGCTGTCTTCCAGCTGGAGGAGGAATTGAAATTGATTAAAGAGGCGTATAATTCACATGTTCACAGAATGTAACATGCAGGCTCATGGCTCTTGAAACAAAATTCTCCTTTAGGAGAGCCATATTCTTGAAGCACTTGTAAATAACATCTGAAACAGTAAGGCCATTCAGGGGACACTCCTTGTCCTCAAAGGTCAGAAAGTTAATGTCAAAGCTTGTTTCCCTCTTGAAATGGAACAGCTCCTTCTTTTGGCTGTGGCATCCTTAGAGGAGGAATTCAGCAGCAAAGAGGAAAATGGAGATTAAAGAGGAGCCATTCATCTTGTTAGCAGTGTAGTTGCACAAGAAGTAAAAAGTGTAAGGCACTCTGAAACAACATACTTACTAGCAGGGAATAAGTATATTCAACAGTTGGAGCAGGAAACCATGAGCTCTACCACTGACTGTCTTTGATATTTTAAAAGACTCATTTCTTTTGTCTGCTTGATATCTGAAGGCAAGGCATACCCACAGTTCCCATTTACTTCTCTAAGGAGCGGGCTGTACAATACTAATAAGGCCATTGGTGTGACTTGATCTTCTGATCGGTAAAAAATAGACTCATAATAACTATTTCTGAAGTCAATCGTTCAAAGAGTGCTAGGGATCACTGTAGATTAGTACAAAACATTCTTCTTGGTGCTAAATGAGTAACTCTGTGTTTTCTATTAATCTCTAACATAGTAATTCTTCCCGATGGAAAATAAACAACATTACTACTTTCAGACTAAAATAACAACAGTAATCCTGTTAAAGATTTAATGCCTTTTTTCAATACGTTTCCTGCCTAAGCAAGATTTATAGGATTATAGCAAGTACATTAGAAAAACGTGGGGATGGGTGGGGTGATGCAAACCAGTCAGAAGATAAACCATCTCACATCAACTCTATACCAGCTAAAAACCCCATTATGAAAATACCTTTTTCTGTCAGGTTTTCCTGCTCTCTCCCACACATGCCAAACCATTTACATCCCTTCTCACAAGCTTTTCTTTCCCAGTCTTTAATGTAGAATTTAACCTGCTTTCTCTGCTCTCAACAATGCCACTAGTGCCCCAAGTCTCTTGTGTCCAAACATCATACACCTGATACTGACCTGAAGTGGATTTGCAAAGCCGAAGTAGAATTCCTCTGTTTTCTGTATTAATTCTTGCAAATAGGTCACATGGACTGAAAAGACCACCACTTGCTAAAGGTCTCACGTTACTATTTTCTCCCCTATGAGTCCTTCCCCAAACTTAACACCTATGTACATATCTGGGTTTAGTAAATAATCCCACTAAATGCACCCTGCTAGCCCCTACACAGATCCTCTGCCTCCTCAGGGTTCGTTTGACACCAAATTACTCAGTGCCTAGGTCCCACGATTAGTATAACATAGGTCTTTTCACAGCTGCTTTGCAAGCCGCTCTTCTAGGGCTTTCCTTCATGTACCCTCTCAGACACCACAAGCACCACAGCTTGGTCCTAGAGGCCTCAGATCACCCTAAACGGCAGCAGCAATTTTGTCTAAGCACTTGGCAATTCCCAAGCTTCTCACTGCTCCCCTAGCCCAGTTTTCTTTGCTAAGAGGTCAATGCCAGAAGAGTTTACAGGGCCCTCATGCGGGTTGCTGTGGATGGCTCTTCCCACATGGGTCTTGCCCTTGGGCTTGGACTCCTTGGGAGCCCAGACTCCCGTGGGCAGGCAAACCCTCACCAACTAGGGCAAAAAGCGTCTCTCACTTGTTTCATGACTCCTCTCAGGTATAAACCATATACTGCCACACGTGGCTCACAAACGCTACCACGTTTGTAAATGAATTACCTGTCTGTAGGGCCCTGGTAGGTGGTTCACAGTTGACACGTAGTTGATAGGCATTAGAGAGTAAAACACTTAATATTTTCAGTTAAGCACTTGATAATACGGTTACACACCAAGCTACAACAAATGCTGAGGGAACCACTGTCCTCTGCCAGGCAGACCACTTTGAGAAGAGCCTTAATGACTGAGTTAAATGACCTTTCCATGACAAGAAAACCAAGTACTGAATATCCCTATGCATTAAACACTAGAGCATCTCTCAGTGCAGATACATTTTGTGCGACTTATCCCCACGATTCCAGAAACAGGAATAATAGAGAAGGGCTGGGTAACACCACAGAGCCCTGCTATATGGACAACCAATTGCATTTCCTTCTAAAGGATACAGCACAATCCAGATGACCTTGAGATGCATGGGCTTAAGGGAACAGTTTCATAAATGAGTACAGCAAACATCAGAGAGAACTGAATTAGACAGACAGACCATACAGACCCAAGTGAACTTGAACATTGCTGTCATAGCACTATTTATAATTTTTCTCTCCAGAACAAAAGGAGTCAGTAGGCATCTGTCTATGTAACAAGACAAACTTCAGAGCAGCTCAAGTCCCCATATAATTTACTTTGGGTAATTGCATATATTTGCTTTTCAAACATTTCTTAGCAGAGGAGCCTTAAGAGGCTGAATGGTAATGTGAAAGAAGTTAGTAGAGAGGGAGGGGGAGATGACAGCAGGCAGAAAGAAAAGAGAGGAAAGCTAAATGAAGGCTCCCTACTGCATTCATTCACTTCAGAATAACACTGCCTGCTTCTGCAAAAGATCTGTGAGACCCTTCACAGTAATTCAGGAGCTTGTCATCAGATTCACTTTTCAACTGAAAGGCTCATGAAACAAGTTCAAAGAACTGACTCTCAGTTCTGTCTCTGAGTAGAGCTGAAAGCAGCTTTTTAACCTTGTGTTTTGCACGGTCTTGTCTGCCCTGCACATAGTGCTGGTCAAGATTACAGAACATTTTCCTTGCTGAATGCCAAACAGCTGTTATGAAACACATTTGGTGGAACATATATAAACACGTCTTAGTGTTTTCTCATAATAATAGCCAAAAAAAGCCCCAAAACCTGAAGCTGATGGGGGAATGCAAAATGACATCCTGGTCCATAGCTGGTCTTCATGCCACATGTTTTAAAAACCTGCTGTGACCCAGGAATCTTTGAAGATGCGCTATCAGACACTCAGGCTACAAATTAGTAAACTAAATATGGGGACTCTTCATTTCTTATCAACAGCACAGCACTGCGAAGGCTCTGCGAATCCATGCGCCCTTGGTCAGAGCCCTGACAACAGGTGCTGTGACCAGGCCTGATCTTCTGTTTCCCAAAACCACTTGGGCACGGGTGTTCTTGTACTACAACTAGTAATTTGTTTGATGATTGCCGTGGCCAAAGGACAGAAGGCACAAGAACAAGATATGTTCAAAGAAGTTGACTGTTGAGACTTAGGGATCTTATAAGGCCATGCTTGAGTTTCACACTCAGTCCCATTTTTCATCTGTCAAGGAATAATGATTTGTTAGGAATGATGTTCCAACTGAATGATGTTTTTCTTTCATTTTCAAAAGCTGAAAATGGAATTAAGTCACATCTTCTTTACAAAGAAGATGTAAACAGCATAAGAATGGGGTAAACGAAGTAATCAAAAATACATTTAAAATATACAGAGAGTGGTGGCAATTTCAGAGGAATTCTTGTTATAGTAAATAGCTCTAGGAGAAAGCGGCCTAATATTCCAGAGTCCCTCAGTTTTCAGGTAAACTTTCAGTTTCTGAGTATTCCAACAGTTACTGGTTTGGGCTCCAAATAACCTCAAAGCATCTCATCTTAAAAACTTAAAACCATCCCAATAATTGTATTCCTAGTGAGTAAAATATTTAAGCTTCTGCTCAAACCCCACCAATTTAACAAAATGTAAACATGCACATGAGTGTTTAGCTGGGATGTGCTAGGATCACCTTCAAGCATCATTCAAGCACTGCTGCTGGGCTGAATTAAGTCAGAAAAATGGTTGTCAGGATTTCTGTAAAGGCATCTTAACCCTGTTAGTCTCAACAGGAGTTGAGCTGTTCATTTCCACAGGGACAGCATCTCCCTTACAGGGAACCTGGTTTTTCCCTGTGCTGCTTCGGAGTGAAGCTGACACAACTCCACTAGCAACTCCCACGTAAAATGGTGTAATACAGGGAAAGACTGAGTGCCAGGTTTCCATTCCTGACCTCTAACATAATGTTGACATAAAGTACTGGTCAAGGTCCCAGCCCCTTCCTGCATCTGTTCATTATCTGTAAAATACTTGCCTATTTCCCAGGAGAGCAGTAACCATAATTTGATTAATAAGTGCAGAAGCACTTTGAGCTTCTTAGATAAAATGCACTGCACAAATATTGTCCAGGCCAATATTTTTACATTATAAACTAGGCAGAAAGTGGAAAGAACAAAGAGGAATGGATTAATTGCTACATTCATTTAATATAATTCATAAATGGATAAATGCTTGTAGCTATTTAACTTGGCAACATTTACAACATTCTAGAGCAGCAAACGAAACAGACTGACAAGAGGCCGGAGCAAATCCCTGCAATGAAGACATAAGTAGTAGACAAGCTTTACATTCTTGTTAAGGCTGCTTTTATCCCAGAGCTGCAGATATATATACATATAATACTCCAACTTGCTCTTAACAGTTCTAAACTTACTGAAATTTATTCAAATAGCTACATGAATTAGTTGCGTAGAAGAGAAATGCAGTCTTATAGGTCAGACTGCATCTTGTGGTGCTATTAAGAAACAAGAACTTTCAAAGAAACATGAAAAATCTACTATTTGAGTTGCATTCAGTCAACTGGACTTTTCTGTAAGATGGTAAATTATTTTGTCTTCTTTTTCCTTAATGTAAAGGTTAACAACAGAATATCCGGGACACTATGGAGAAGATATGGACATGATGATGTACACTTATGACCATTACATCCGTGGGGCAACCACAACTTTCTCTGCTGTGGACAGGTTTGCTTTTCATCTGTTTCACTAGAAATTTAAAAAAAAAAAAAAAAAAAAAAAAAAAAAAAAAAAAAAAAAAAAAAAAAAAAAAAAAAAAAAAAAAAAAAAAAAAAAAAAAAAAAAAAAAAAAAAAAAAAAAAAAAAAAAAAAAAAAAAAAAAAAAAAAAAAAAAAAAAAAAAAAAAAAAAAGTTTTCCTTTTCTATTTCTCCCAAACAGTGCATGGCTACACATCATCTGCTGTGGTACCCAGCATCAGGCTAGTACTTCTGAGGACCAAAGTTCACTGTGCATGTGGCCAATTGTCCAGGGTGGTGTATCAGGAAAAGGGCACCTTCATGCACAAGGGGATCATCTGCCATGCCCATCTGCGTAGTGAAAAATATAGCAATGGTAGGCTTGGCTAAATCTGAACTCCACAAAGCTTAACAGATCTTCAGCATTGTTTCTCACCTACCTCTGGTTAGAGCATCTTTTATCTAACCCAGTAAAAACTCAGCCTGGAACACCCTGTCCTTTCAGGGGATGAGGGACTTATTTTGGCCCACTTTTCTTTGCAGAGAAGTGGGGTATCTGCCAGCATGCAAAGATAAGACCATACAAACTGCAGTCTGAATGCTGTAAAATGCCCAATCCATTGGAACACAATACTAACAGATCTGAGGCCACACCAGGAATTAAGGCAATGCAGTGCACATTGATCCCTTTCCAGAAAATGAGTCCACTACTTTTTCTTGTTCAGTCCTGGTCATTACTTGACCAGGCCCTATGAGGCGCTATGGCTAGTGAAGTTGTGGTTGGATCTTGATTCTTTCGTCTTGAGCTGACCTCTAATACATCAACTGTGAGTTATTTCTTCGCTCATGTTTTTTATCAGACACCTCAGCCCAGTATATTAAAGCATTTGTTACCAAACACAGCACAGACAGCAAGGCAAGGTGCGCTACACTGGCCTGTTGTTGCCAAGACTGGCTACAGGAGAAGCGGGGAGAGAAGAGAGAAGGAGGAGTTTAAACACACCAACATTTCAAGCTGTCTCTAATAACACTCAAAGGAGCCGAGGTGCTTTTGTCACTATGACGGTCTCAGCTTGCTGGACTTCACTAGGGATCCCCTCAGCCAAAAGATTACCTAAAATAAGAAGACCTTTCCAGAAATGATAACACAGTCAGACTGCTGCAGGTCCATAAATGTAATTTTCTGGCTAAAATTCATTAGCCTGTTTATTAACAAATGGAAGCCATGTCTGCAAATTATTCCTACAAGCGGAAGCATAACTTTCACAGTTAATTAACTCAAAGGTATCTATTTATTCCTTTGGATAAAGAATTTACAAGCTTGCAAGGGACATCCCTGTTCTGGGTTTTTTCTCTTAAATATTACCCAGTGCTATTCTTTATCCTTGCTCCTCACAGCCATGGCAGAGAGTAGGGGAGATAGTGCAGACAGTGCGCTCCCCTGCAGCTGGATTCCAGCCTCTACTGGATGTGGACCAGGGTAAAGTCAGGAATCACAAGGACAAGCCTGGAAAACAGAGCAGCTGAGGTAACCGATGCCTCTGAGCAGATTTCTGTCTGTGACTGTTGAAGGCTTAACGCAGCCTTCAGAACAGGGACTGGGCCAGGAGTGGAGGCAGCATCACGGGGATGTACATCGGGAGTACAGGTCTTCACAGGTTATGGGAACACAGTACCTGGAAAGGGAAGAAGCCACCACCACCTTTGTCCTACCACTGCTGTGACACCACAGATGAACCTGCAATAGTAGCAGGTGAAAACCATAGAGAAAACATTTTATGAATTGCAATCTAGGAAACTTCTCTGTGCCAATGAACTTTCTGGCCCCCGGCTTCCAGAATGACTAAAACCAACTTGTGTTGCCTCGTGTAAGAAGTGAAAAAAACTCCTGCTATGCCAGTTCATAATTCAGATTCATGCAGTAACTCTCCTGAGTGGTATACTCGCAGAAGTTGGCTAAGTTTGTCATCCTAAATGGTTCTTTGCAGCTGGTTGAGGCAGCATAGGAGCAAAAAAAGCTATTCCCAGTCCCAGCCTGCCAGCAGCACGCACACGTGCATCTTGTCTGTGTAAACATGCTGTAGATTTTGAGACTGCTTTTCATTTTCAAGCACGTTAAACTTCTGTCCATACTATTTAGCCCATGACAGGCAGTGTTCTTGAGCTAATGAGCGTCACAAAAAAAGCCTTTGAAGGTATTTTAGTTTAAGCTTTCCTAATCACTTCAAACAGTCAGGTATTTTTAGACTTTTTGAATAAACTTGAAGGAATCATATCCTCCCTTTCCTACTCCCTAAGACATTGCATCACTGGGGTCACTGCTGATGCACAGATATTTGAGAGAGCATGTGATGCCTCTGGCAAAAGCTGTAGAAAGTTTAGAAAGGTGGTATCCCCATCTCCTCTTCTGTAATCACTCTCTGAGAGTTTCCATGCCTGTGTATCAACAGGAATGAACAAAGGAGTTGCTGTTCATCATCAGAGGTTCTAAGTGCTCTAAATCTGGAGAACAGATTTTAGAAGTGGTTAATATTTACATTTTTCAGTCCCATTTTAAATAGGTCAAAAGGAGAAAACAATTGTCTATAAAGCAAGACAAAAGCAGCTGGAAAGAATTAGCAGAGGCTTGAAGTGTCTCTGGGAGCACATTTGGGAGCGTGGTGATAATGCTGATGCAGACAGGATGACCTATGGACATAAGTAAGGCAACATTTGCAGGTAAAGGCAGTATCTTTTGTTAGACAGACTGATACAGTCAGGTTTCAGAGGTGGACATGGGGTATATGAAGCAGGTTGTAAACAATTGAAACTGCCCGCATAGACATGCACATTGTAAACCCTTGACAAAATAGCTTCCAAAATTTAAAAAAAAAAAAAAAAAAAAAAAAAAAACCTTCAAAATAGCTTCAGCCTGAGCTCTGAAACATGCTAAGTGATGATGGCATGGCTCCCTCGTGGAGCCTTGTTATGGGGCTGTGGTCTGATTGGGTCGGTCCCTCGAGTCCAGAGAGCACCACTGGAACATTCACAGCCCAACCTGCAGGGAGTAGCTTGAACAGGGAGGTGGGGATTACCAGACGTGCTTGGTAGGTGCCACAGCTTGCCCTTCGCTGTGTTCTATAAAAACAGCACATGCAGACTGACAGAAGCTCATTTCTCTTACAAAACTGTTCTCTGCTGCATTTATTTGGGTGATCTGAATAGCCGGTAATTTCTTAACTGCTCAGACATCATCACTGAAAGCTAGATCAACACCCAGATACCCCAGCAGTAAGGACATTTGAAATGCCTGGACAAGCTGGATATCTACTGAGCTCAGCTGAGCTAAATTATAGGTTATTTTAGGTCCCTAATAAGTTTCATATGACCAAAGAAAGAGGATTTTGTCAAACTCAATATGAATAGGAATTAATAGAATTTTTTAACTGAATTGGAAACAGATTATTTGGCAATATTTGGAGATAAAAGATATTTTCCCCATAGCATAAAAAATTCAAATCTGACAGCACATGACAGCTGAAGAGTAAAAGTGACAATTCAATATTGACTTCCCAAGCCAAGGAAAATGCATGAAATTAGCAGTTTGGGGGGGAGGGGGGGACTTATAAACTGGTGTTAAGAATCTGCAAAGGCAAGTGTTCATATATTCTAGAGTATTCCACTTAGGGCAATTCCTGACAGGATCTGCACCCCCACTGGAAAACTTGTAAGGGATCTACAAATTGAAACAGGCTGATAACTATTGAATTAAACACACAGCACCAATGGTACAAAGTAATTGCCTGCATACTGAAAAGTTGGACATACATGCTTAACTTCAAACACAAGTAATGCAAAAAAAGATAAATTAAGATACTAAATGCATAAACCTATTGGCCATCAATCATGTGCATATATGCTAAAGTGTCTGCAAGTTCAATCTTAAATTACAACTTCAGAAATAATTCTGTTCTAATATTTCAAAGCATGTTATTAATTCAGGTAACTAAAATACATTTATTTTAAAGAACTCAACTTTTAACTTTACAATATCCCTTTTTAGAAAAATGACTTGACCTCAGCTTTTGAGCTAAAAGTCTCTCTGACAACGGGTGCTAGTTTAGCAGACCTTAATTTTGACCCATATAATCCTGTTAATCCACGAGTCATCTTTTCTCCTTTTGGTCTCTCTGGGTAGCTCAGTGACCAAACGAGTACTAACAGTCTTTGAAGAGCATGCACATAGTCCAAATGAGGACTTCCTAAAATAAACGTAAAAATGAATCTTGCATTTCATTAACCTTTGGTAACAGTTTTATGAGGCAATTACAATTAAAAATCATGTAGGAAAGGCCTAAAGAAAACCAAAAATAAACACTATACAACTAAACGCAGACTTGCTGATGAGTATGAGATAGGCCCAGTTCCAAATGACACTCAGCATAAACTGGTGAAGTAGCATAGAAAATTTCCAATTAAAAAACCTCAGTTAATGAAAGCTGAAATGAGACGCTTTATACCTACAAAGAGCTTAAGGGTCAAATTAATTTTATTCCAGGATAGAGTCACCCAGTCAATGAAACCATATAAAAGCAGTTAATGCCAAAATCTGGGCTCAGGTGTCTCAGCACATCCCTAAGAGGCAGCAGGTTCTGCACCAGTTTCCTCACTGTTTGGAGCTGGCCACCAGAAAACCAGGACTGTGCAGGGATCTTGTAAAGCAAGCTCCTATTGAACCACTCCAGCAGCATTACCTGTCCCATGCCTCAGGTTTAGGAGATAACTATTAGCAGAATCCAAACTTTCAGAAACCTCTTGGAGTACTACCCATTACCAATTTAAATGACGGCTGCCATCTGCAAGGACTGTACTTGAGATCTAAACTCCTGTTAGCCAGTACCAAGCAGCCTAAATTGAACATTTGCTCCACAGCAGGACAGTATTTGTTCCTCTGAACTCATGCGTTTTTGTCAAGGGAAAATTTAACGCACAATAAGCTAAGGTGGAAATTTGCACTGTTGCAGCTATTGGACACTAAATCACTGGCCTCCACTGTTGAATCCTGTTGCTCCAGCCACGCTTCCTACTAAAAATTGTTAGTAGGTATTGTATCACTCTCCTGAGAGAGAATACAGACATCCAATTACTCACAAACCAGGAACAGCATAAACTCTCCTCACACTCGTAAACGTTACTCTGCCTCACATGTGTCTTGTGGAGATCAAGGATGAGAATTGAATTTAATTTCTCTCACTGTTGATTCCTTCACATCTTTGTTAAAGGACACTAGCTAGAAGACCTAGTAGTGGAAAGAAAAAAACCAGTGAATTTTGCTCTGTGGATAACTCCCCACTTAGAAATAGCTTGAAAATCACCCATGTATTTTACTTTGTACACATTCTTGAGCAATATATCACATGACAATAACTTTTGAGAGAACCATCCTTTTCCTCTTGGTCACTGATTTAAAGTCAATTTAGGATTGATCACCATCAAGAGTCATTGTCTTCTGAAGGATACTCAGAGACCTAATTACTCAGAGAGCTGATTTTCTCACCTTGTAAGGGAATGTGAAGGAATTATAACTATCAGACATATTTAATCTTCTTCCAGCCCATAAAAACACAAAGCATTCAGAGGAAATTCAGCTAATGGCAGACAGATGTTTTTGTTGCCACAATACCTGGTGTAAAGTTATTCTTACTTGTATAGTCTTATCCTTTGCAGTTCTGGCTCACTAATATCTCTCTCTTGTCTCTCTTCCATGCAGGGATCGTCAGTGGAAATTCATTGTCTGCAGGATGACAGAGTATGACTGCCCATTTCAAAATGTTTAAAAAGATCGAGTTTACTCAACTTGGAAAGCTTGGGGATGGACAGGGTGGGATGAGGCTCAGTGATTACGGGAGAAGGGCAATTAGGCTCACAAAAAAAGTACCAAGACTCATCAGCTGTCTGCTGAAGATACAATTCTTTCCCTCTGGAGCTATTAAATAAATTGCCAGCCCACGTGCTTGCAACAGCGATTTTGGAGGATTCCTTCAAGCTGCACTGGCAGTTGTATCCCCTGACTAAAATTGCTTACAACATACACGTTTATGATACACAAGTCTGTGGCATATGCAGTTACCTTTTTTATATATACATATAGCCATTCTGAACACATACAACCTTCTTTCACATAGCAACTTCATATAAATTGCTTCCCAGCACAGTCACTCTGAATGAGGTGGAAACATACTATAAGCTTTCCAACATCCACTAGACTTTCCTGTCTCTACTTTGTACTTGGAACCAACCCAGTGATCCCTACCAGCTTCTCAGCGTTTAGTAGCTGAAAGTGTGCTGAAAGCAGCATCAGGAGGTCTCTGACGTACTGCATCTGGCGTTACCCATTACAGCCCTCAGCATAACTCCATTGCAACAAACGTCTGCCTGCACAGGAGAATTCCAGGTATTTACAACACTGGAAGACATCAATACCTGATTAAAATGAGAGTAGGTCCATCAATAAAAACAGAAGTCTAACCCAGCTTTACTGAGAGTCTCTTTTTTATTGTCTTAAAAGTCTCTAATGACATAACTAGCTAGGAGCTCTACTCTGGGCAAACCCAGGAGTAGGTGAGGCCACTTGCACTCTCAGTAAATATGTATACTGCACTTGTCAGGAGTCTACTTTTCAGGTAGATTGGGTTTCCACTATGGGTGCCTGTACAACGTCCATCTGCCCTTGGTAATATATTCTTGGCTTAGAACAGACAAATAAAGCTAATGACTTAGGTGACCTCAGTTCCTCCAACTTTTAGATCTCATTCCCTGTAAAGGATAAGCTGACCATGTTTCAAGACTGCACAGCACTTGTGCAGCTGTAATTCAACAAGAAAAACTATTGATCTCTTCCAGGAAGATCTGAGGTAGGATTTTTGCTCTTGAACAAACCAGAAGTTAGGGCGCAGTTTCTTAGCTGATGAAGTCGATGGTAAACTAGCAATGGCTCTGGCAGTGCTGGCTCAAGGGCCATGATGACCGTGTGTACCAATTTAACGTTGTAAAGCTCCATAGGAAACAGTGGTGTCAGCCAGTCAGTTTCCATGTTCCAAGCATTTTTAACATATTTACTAGCATACCTTCAAGTGTGAGCATTAAAACTACATTTGTCTAATAAAAGAATAATAGGTTTTGCATTGATGTAGCCTTGCTCTTTCTTGATTTTACTTACAATAGCTTATTAATTTGCACACAAAGAAACCTTCTGTCATTCTCAGAGACCATGATAGTAATTAGGGAGTTTCTGTGAGAGCCAGTTGCTGAGACATGTAAGTAACAGTGGGAAAGAGAAGTCAAGAGGCCTAGGGAAGCTGGAGGAGCTTGTTAGCTGACACTGGCAGACAGGCAAAGGAAGCCAAGAGAGCTCCAAACAGGGGAGCACCTGAGGAGAAGGCACTCATGCCAGGCACTATAATTAGGCATAGAAGGATCATATCTGGGAACACCTGCTCTAGACGGACACCCGTCTCCCACACAACTTTATCTTGACTACTTAGGCTGCTCTCAATTCTGTGTGCACACTATAGGTTCATGGAGGCCTCTGAGGGGACAGTGCAAGATCAGCTTAAGCTGATTTAGATCCACAGCGCCACGGAAATGAGCAGTTCTGCTCTCTTGTCCACTGGAGCTGCAGTGTCATATTGTCCCATATGCCACCTTTCTCCTCATCCCTGTCCCAGTCACTTCCTTCCACCCATGCTCTATTCCCAGCTCCACCCTAGCAGTGCATCTGTGTAGGATACATTTCACAGGACTCCTCTTCAGAAAGTTAAGTAATTCTCAGATGAGGAAAGGCGTGGGTGGGAAACAGAATGTATCTTGGGGGAAGGCAGAAATGGGATGTGGACCAAAAAAAACCAAAAAGCAGAACTGAGGCAGAGAAAGAGTGGTTCCTGTGAAGTCCTAGGACAGCTAGTTAGCAAAGCTAGGAACTGAACTTAGTTTTTATCTAAGTTTTTATCTAAGTTGCAGCATCCACTTCTAATGTTTATGTAATCTTTGCGTGTGGGAAGACATTGCTCCCAAGCTGATAAGGTTCCAGCCCAAATTCCTCAGCACAGAGCAAGGCAATGATGAGCCTGCTTGCAAAAGTTCGCTGGTTTCAAAACCTGATCAAGCCTGTTTTGACTCTCCTAAAGCCATTCTGGAAAAGTGAGCCTTTCAACCTGCTTAGGACACCTTACCGAACCTGAACCACCTTTCACTCGTGCTAACACAAACTAGATGCCATTGCAGGGAAACGAACACAGTTGTGCCTATTCAGACCAAGTGCAACTGAGCACAGATGCCCAGTACAGGGAGCCCACAGAACTTCATCCTCATGTGTTCCATGGCACAGAAGCACCCCACCTACACTTGTACTATACGGTGTAAAAGTCACCCCTGATCTGAGAGCCAACACAGAGCCTATGCATTACTGAAGTCCCATATAGGCCTAACATTTTAAATAAACCCTTATTTTTTAATAAACAAAACATCAGGAAATAAAGTCCTATTTATTTAATAAATAATAACAGTATGGATTGAATTCAAACATCTGAGAGAAAAGCACTCTTTCGTAAATGCTGAGCGTTGCCCCAGTCATGCTGCAAGGGCTGCAGATGGCATACTGTCAGTGTTGTCAGCGATTTTTTTAGATAAACTAGAGCAGGGTAATCTTTGCATTCACAAAGGGAAATGCAGCAAACTTCAAAAAACAAGGAGAACCTTTTGAGCTTTTCTAACTCTAAATAAAAAAGGTGAAGAAGAAAAAGTGGGGTGGGCTGGCTGGGGAAGAGAAATACCAACACTGACCCCCTTTGTGGGTCTCCTTTAATCTGAAACTCAGTGAAGGCTGGTGCTACCCCAAACCCACATCCTCCATTTGATCCACTCCTCTTGAAGACAGGCTTGAGTAAGAGAACAGCATGAGTAATTGGGGAAAACACAGACAATTCTATCAACGCCAAACAGTCGAAGAGGAGGACTTGACCGCTCTTCCTCCCAAATCCCAAGATTAACTTAAAAACCATGGGACTTTTATAGAAAAAAGAGCTCTATTTTTTTCATCTATTCTGATTTCTCAGTTTCCAGAGTATATAAGCACTTCCAACATTTTTCAACATTTTTCACTTTCAGTATTTTTCAAGTGCTTCAAACAGTATTTTTCAATTACTTCTCAACAACGCTGAGCCTAGAAATGTGTTTTTTAAGTGAATGCTGAGATTCTTGTTTAATCACTTGACAATGAGAGCTGGGATTAGTTTTACAGGACAACAAATACTATGAGACTAATGACAAATATATCAGATTTAGCAATACAGCACTGATTAAAAAAAGAAATAGCAAACCCATAGCCATGTTGAAATAAGGCGTATTTCCTGTAAAATCAAGAGAGACCTTTCAACCTCTTCCAGTCCAGTGTTCAGGATTTTGTAATATGAGATAAACCTGGCAGAGAGTCATGGCATCACCTAAGCAGAGAGATGCCAACACAGCTGAAGGGAAACCAGTCTGTGGATGAAGCAGAAGACCTGGCAGAAGACCAGTTGGCTCTTAGGAAAACTTACTTAGGCTTGACCCTTGACTCACAGCCATTGAATCCTTTTCTGGTTTTAAACTTTATTTCAAGCCCATGTTTATCGCACCAGCAACATGTTACTGTACTGGCCTGCATCTTTAAGGCTACAGTACTGTTTGCAAACAGAGAGTATGAACATCACTGGTAGTGGCACTTTGTGCCAGAGTTGTTGGCATGAACCGTAGGCAGGAGGAGTTCTGCTAATAACACATTATCAAACATAAAACATTGCTTGTGCCTAGATTTACTTTTCAAGACACAGTAGTTACACAGGGGACTGCTACCTTATTCCTCACTATTTCAGGGTACTGGTATGTGTGTAGCTGATGCTCTGCATAGTAATCCAGACCTATGCATCGAGAAGTTTAGAAAAGGCAGCAGGGCTGCCCACATGCTGAAAATGAAAGACATGCACAAGTGCCTGTGGGTCAGAGCCAGCAGGCTTGGCTCTGTTTTTCTGAGCTCCATACCTGAACAGCATTGATTTCAGTCTTATCCAGCTTGTGAACTTTGGCCGAAATCAATGGAGTTCAGTCTTAAGCAAGAGTCAGGCATCTAAATACTTTTCAGGATCTTAGCTTAGCTGGTGCATCTCTACAAGGAAGACTGGAAAAACTGGACCTCGAGTTAAAGGGAATCAATCGAAGAGTGTGCCAAGATACACAGGGACAGACAAGGCACTGCATATTCTTTTCATACTTCCTCAGACATAAAAGCCCTGAATTGGTCAGGCAGTTGGACTAGGTGATCGTTGTAGGTCCCTTCCAACTGAAATAGTCTATTCTATTCTATTCTACTTGAAAAATCTAACTGACTTAACCTCGTGAAGACCAGGACACATTCTGCCTTAGGTTGTCTTTAAATCATTTAAGAAGAATAAAAAGAAGTTTTGCTGAGCTTAGCATTAAAGCTATGTCAATAGGATAAATCCCAGTATGTAAAAAAAAGGCACAGCTACATTTTTGCAGGATGTGAGCTTTATTTTACATGCAGGATCAAATTCTCCAGGCCTTGCCTGAACCACACAAGTCACCACACTGCAGAACCTGGTCCTAAAAAGACCAGCCCAAATTGTGGAGAACACAGAAGAAGACACAGGTGCACAAGAGATGGTTCTATCTGAGAGAAAACTCAGGGGAATGACAAGAATTGAAGCAAAAATGGTGAAAAAGAGACATGAAGCCACCTGAAGAATATACCATTATGTAATTTCTTAAAATAAATGCATGTTCCTCTATCTTAGGAGATGAGATGACTAGGATTATTTAATACCAGCAAAATTTCAAGAATTTGGAGAAAGCTCCCCAAATAACTTTGCAAAGAAAAAAGCTAGCACAGTATATCAAATACCATCCTTGAAAAGCAGAGGATTTGCCAAGTGAAGCAGAACCAACTGATAATGTTGATATAATTCTTTTAATCTGCATTGGGAGCTCTTAACCCTTGACCAAAGAAAACAGAGAGATGAGAACAGAAGGAATAAGCTAACAATGAAGTGTGAGTAGAAGGAGGAGGTGTGATTACAGATAAAGAAAGAGGCAAGAAAAAACCAAAGGCAAATAAATTCTCAACAAACTAAAGAAAATGGGTCTTTGGCACAACATCTGGCCCCAGAACTGAACTTCTAGCTTTCCATGGTTGTGTGATGCTGCATACAAGGTTTTGCTTCAGCTAACATAAACACATTGCTCAAGCTACTTTAAAGTTTGAAGTTACCTAAGACTCTGTCTTGGGTTCAAACCCATGTTAAAGTGAACAAGATTTGACTTGGAAATGGATATATTCATCAGCAAAAACACTGACATAATTACACAAGTCATCCAAAATTAAGTGCTTTTGTCTTCCACTGAAATCTAACAGATACCACGGCTATGTCCAGGGGTGAATGTGATTCCCATCCACTGGTTTCCATCCAGGCAAGCTGACAGGTTTTTTTCCTCCTCAACCTTTACTTCTGTTTTCATCTGGGAGGCAGGGAACATGGCCTTGTAAAGCATCTAAGATGGCCTTTGGTGGGTGTCACCTTGGCAGCCCCAATCCAGGATACTATAACCTAGGAGGCAAGCAACTACCTTCTCCTCTGTCATTTTCGTGGTCAAGCTTCTCTTCCTCTAGTTTCACGTGATTTTGCACTGAAGCTGTCTGTTCCCGTGCTTTCACTCCCTCTCTCCTGTGTTCGTGTTATTCTTACAGCTACTGAAAGATTTTGGGGCAGCATTCTTCTCTGCTTGCCTGGCCTGTCAAGTCACATACAAACTAATTGCATGCAGCACCATAAAAATGATAAAAGGCAACAGCTTAAAACAGCATATCATAGTGTAATTTCAGATAGACATCCCCACTGCCCAAATTCCTGGTCCAAAGCCCATGGATAACGGTAGAAGCCTTTCCATCGATTTTTAGAAGGTTTGCACTATTCCTTGTATGAGGAAATAGAGCCATCTCACATGGAGAAAGCTCACATATCTTTCTCATTCCTAATCTAGCAGCAGGCAGGCGATCCTGCTATAATAAATAATTAAACTCTGATCATGATCTTACATAGAAAGTTCCTTTCTTCCTTTATTTATCTTCATTTTA